CGTGTCTGTTTCCATAGCGTCGCGATTTGGCGCGTCGTCGAGGCGATTCGCGTTGTTTACAGGATGTTGCGGTTTGTCGCGTCGCCTTAGGCGTGTCTATTTACCATAATGTCGCGATTAGGTGCGTCTCGCACGTCGCGATTAGGCGCGTCTCGCATCTGAGCGTTTTCCGTGGGGCCTAGCGCGTCCTGTTTGTGGTTTGACGTGTTTTTTACGTGTCACTATAGAGAGTATTTAACTAGGAGTGTCGACGATATATTGTTAGTTTGCGAGATGGAGAGTCAGTCTAATGTTTCGGAGAGTCAGTTTAATATTTTGGAGAGTCAATTGAAGGATACAGAGATAATATCGCTCTTAGACGATTCGCTCGAGCTCTCGAGAGAGATGGAACGCGAGATAGTGAAACGGAAGAAACACGCGATGACGATGAGGCGTGAGAAACGGCCTACGATCGAGCGGGAAGAGGAGAACGAGATATCGGCGGAGGTCGAGAGCGATGCGATCGACTTGCTCAAGTTGATGCGCGCGATATGGACGTCTATGCATTCGATGTCGTGTAATTTGTGGCTAATGATGGCGTTTTTGTCTAAACATCTGGCGCTTCATCGAGGAACGGAGCCGATCGCGCGTATACGCGAGGCTGAGCGTATGAGGAACGCTATACGTATCGTTACTGATGTCTGGAGTCGAAAGGGTCCGTGGAACTCGTACTGTTCTGGGGACAGTATGGTTCGCTTAGTCGAGAGTTCCGCGACGCCGGACGAGCGTGCGTCGCTTATGGAGATCGAGATAACGAAGGAGGCTTCTTCGAAATGGATACGAGATTACTGGAAATATCTGGCGCGTTTGAAAACGACGAAAGGGGATCTCGACGACGAGTACGAGAAGTATCTTGCGCGTTTGAATACTAGGGAATGATGAGAGTTGTGGCAGTAGTTTAGACGCATTGTTCGCGCATTATCTAGAGATAAGGAGGAGGCTGATCGATTCGTTCAGTATGTGACGAAGTTGAAGGATGGACGACAGCTCGAGACGAGATCTCCGGGCGAGAAAGGGATCGATTGCGAATTGGTTCGAATGTACGTGTACAATGTCAAGGATATAGTTAAGAAGAAGAGACGCAACTGGTGGAAATATGCGAAATTGAAAGTTCAATTTTTGAACTCCGTGTCGGATCGGAAGAAGCAGTTGATGACAGTTGATAGATCGAGTCGCCAATGATCTGAGGAAAGTACCCGGAATGCGCGGGGAAGCGAGAAGCGTCGAGTGCGACAGCGAGTAGGGATGTATCGCTATGACGCTCGCGCGAATTATCGTCAGGGGTATCGATTGTGGCGAAGAGCGCGAGTATATGTAAAAGAGAATGTACTAATATTTCTATGTAAAAGAATATATTAATATGTATACTAATACAAATATATGTATAAGAATATACACGAATATATGTATAAGAATATGTACACGAATATATGTGTAAAAGTGTGTGTAAATATGATACCGAGTGACAAAAATAACGAGTATATGTACGAGGTATACTGAAATAAAGAAAGAGTAATGCGAATCGTCATTAATACGTATCGTTGTTGCGATGATTAACCGACTGTGAGAGAGATAGAGTTTTTTCTTGTTCCGAGAATGTATGAGAGAGACGAGAGTGGGAGTCGCGCGAGAAGAAAATTATCGTAGGAGTATTAATAAGAAGATAATATTTCATTAAGAATGTGAATGTTGTGCGATGCGTCATTTTCGCGCTCGCTACGCGTGACTACGGGAAGTCTGACCGCAACGGCGATAAAAGATTAGTCTATTGTTTATTTCGTCGTTCTTTATTTTATTCTTTATTCTATTGCTATTTTATCGTTGTCATGCTTTTACTTTTGTTCTCTATTTTGTATGGTTAATGATATTGCGTATGGGATCTTTAGCGAGATCATTCGTTGGTGTGTTATCATGCTACGTATATTTGGATTCGTTCGATGAGAATAATCTCGCGCGATAGAGAATAGAAATTAAAGCGATTTTAATTTCTGATTCGCGATTCGGATCGATTCATCGCGTCGGTCTTCGCCCTCTCGCGACCGATGGCAACATCGATCGAACGGTTCGCGCGTATTTCGGTCGGCGACGCGCAGTGTCGATTTGACTTCTGTCTCGCGCGATGACACCCGCTCGTGGAATCGCTGTGATCGCGTGCGCGATAGCCGTTATCGCGGCGATTCGCGACTCCGTCGCCGACAGCGACGAGGAGGCGATTCGGTTTTTGCAAATCTACGGATATCTGGACGGCGGTAACGTGCAAACGATATCAGATAACGCGACGCTCTGAGACACGCGATTGCGCTTTTTCAGGAGTATTACCGTACACCTGGTGATGGTGTTCTTAACGAAGCTACATTGGAACAGATGCGTAAACCGCGATGCAGTGTCAAAGATATATTGAATGACTTGAACAATTCTCCGAGGAAATGGGCGAAGACGCATCTCACTTGGAACTTTCATCTGGCAAGCGAGAGCGTTCTATGAGTCACCGAAGTCGCGTTTGAGATGTGGGCTGCGAATTCGTCGCTGACGTTCGCGATTCGATGAATCCCGATATCGTGATATCATTTCGGAAAGGTTTTCACACGTTCGTAGATCCTCGGCATCAAGGTAGCCGAATATGTCCGTCGTTGCTAGACAGACCAGGAAACGTGCTAGCTCACGCTTTTTTACCATCGTCCGAAGTGTCAGAGGTAGATAACGCGGAGAAGTGGCACATCGAGCTAACTACTAATCCTGACGATACGATCTGCTGCATACGTTGACGCACGAGATCGGTCATGCATTAGGATTACATCACAGTCCTCTGAAAAATGCGATAATGTACGCTTTTGTTCCCTCTAAGATCTTTCCCGTGCGATTGAGCGAGGCGGATTTTCTCGCCATTCAGAATTTATACGGTTTAAGAAATAAGAGCGAAATTGCGGGACCAGTTATGACGACCGTAGCGACGACCACGATTGCGACGCGCGACACAGGGAATTCCGCGGATCTGTGCGCGTTACGACGCGTCGATGCGGTGTTGGTGTTAGAAAATAGAATGTATGTGGCGTATCGATACTACTTATGGTCGGTCGACCTAAACGGAAAATCTTACGGCAGGTCGTTGTTACTGACGGACTATTTGCGTTTTCTTCCCGATAATTTTACGCGTTTGGCGGGTGCGTATCGACGATTCTCGGGTCAACTCGTATTGTTTGTTGATGATATGATTTACATGATAGAATATCCGAGTTTTGAGCTAGTACCGGGTTGGCCGAGGAAATTGAGAGATATGAATCTTCCTCCTAATGCGAAAATCAACGCTGTGATTAATACCAACGCGGGACGAACGTTCGCGATTTACGACGAGATCGTGGCTGAGATCGACGATTGCTCGATGATAGCCGTCAGACATAATTCGTTGCACGCAATATTTCCGGGGATTCCACCCGCTGTAACGTCCGTCGTTCGATACATCGACGGTAATCTGTATTTTTTCGTTAAACGACAGTTCTTCAAATATAATGAATTTACTAGAAATGTAACTATAGCCGGTAAATTTGATTCAGAGATTTTTGGTATCGTGTGTCCAAAGGACGAATCGTTAGAACAATTGCGCGTTCTTTTGAAAAAACTCGCTCAGATGAGGAACGTATTTTCGAGCGAGGACGATTTAGAAGAGGAGAGGGAGGAAGAAGAGGCACGGAAGTTTTCGCATAGTGTATAGAGCTAAGGATACGAAACATTTACAAACAGTATTGCGCGATCTCTTCGATCGTAAAGATGTACGATATCGAGCGCTCGCAGGATTCCGAGACGCGCCGAGTCGATGAGAGCGATGACGCGAAAAGGAGAAAGAGGACGCTTGACGATGACAGATCGATCGAGTCGAGTAGTAACGCCGTTATACGAACAATTCAATTAGAATTCTAGAACGAAAATATTCTTTGACTAAGACGGGATACAAGTTTCTTAATGTATGTGTCACTCTTGAACGCTCCTCGCGCGTGAATATTATTCTGGGTGATAGTCATGGCAAGGAGGTCTCGATGTCGCCCGATACGTGGAGGCAGCTTGTCGAGCAACGAGACGTTCTCTTGAAGTATCTGCAGAGTACCAACGGAGAACCGTCCTTTCCAGCCCCGTCGCATATTGGAAATATGACCGTGCGTTTCGGAAAAATCAACAACTTGACGATATTACGCTTGGAAACATCCGCGGCTCGCTTGGCCATGTCGAAGGAAACAGTGAATAATGTTCAAGCTCGAGCATTACATCAGTCGACTCGTTATCTCGTTGACCAAGATATTAGGAAAAATTGATGCGAAATTGGCACGTTTCAAGGATATTTACCGCTGATACGGAAAATATATCGAAAGTTATACGCGATAGCGATGCCTACGATCGTAACGACATTATCGATTGCGAACTCGTTGCTCTGTACTTTGGGATGTAAGATTGAGATGAAATAAAAGTGAGATATATCATAAATAATGTTTTGTGTATTTCCTCAAGCATGTATATAAGTATAGCGAGCGATAAAAGAATTCGATTATAGTATGAGCAATGAATCTAATTATAATATATAAGCACTGAATCTAATATATAATTGTCACGTCCCAGCGCCGAGAGTACCTCTGGTCATGTCTAATGTAAATTTTTCAAAAATTTTAATTATTTATGACTGACTGTATCAGGAGACAGCACAAACAAATCCTTCCTATACATTTAATAAAAGAATATACCGCTTAAAATAATTATTTAAAGATTTATACAAAATGGCCGCTCCTTACCACAACCTTATGGCGCTACTACAGCCTTAATGTTCCTAGTAAATTTTCCCTAGAAACCTCACTAACAAAAAACAGAACATACCGAAATCACTTCTCCAGACTGTTCAGTAAAGTAACAAAGAAAATAGAGCTTAATATCGCATCCTTATCTAAGCATTTCAACATTAACAATAAAATCTCAACAAATAGTAAATAATGAATAAAAAACGAATGTAAGAAATATAACCTCGCCCACGTAATGCACGAAAACTA